TATTTTACTCAAAATAAGATGGACAGTGTATTCTGCATTGTTTTTAATTAAAAATAAATAACTTAGCCTAGTTGAAACCAGATTCAATTCATTTCTAGGACAGTGGTTGTCCCGAAAAAGTTTTTTCACCCCTAAAACAATTTAATAGCAATCTATATACCGCTAAGAGTGCACATCACCTGTGTAGTCACTCGCCAAGTTTTATTCTTTGAAATCTTTTTAATTTATTTCCTGAAAGATAAGTTAATAGTCTTATTTTATTTGTTGTAAATATAATCTAGGCTATTTAAAAATTGACACAGTTTATCCAGCTATGCTGGTCAACAACACAGCCTTGGTTGAAAAAAATAACATAAATGATAAATAAAAAAAATAAATTAATGGTCTGTAAATAATACATTTTGTTTACAAATGATCCGAGAAATTCTTTTTACTATAAGTAAGGAGCGGTATAGTTTCAGCCTTCGTAGAGTGGCACTTTACTAAACCAGGACAAAAGGTTAAAACTATGTTATAGCTTAGGGTTTATCGTGACCTATAACTCACAACTTATAACTTGTTTCTATAAGTTATGAAGTTATATAATATATATACCTAGCAATAAGTTTTATCAGTCTATTGAAACAATATCTGTGAACAACGCGAGAAACAATCAAAATTAGGTATGAAAATATAGGTACCATTACTGCTCTGTAAAATAACAAAGGTAATAAACAATATGGAAGTCCTAATATTTACGGTTTTTATGAAATTAGCATCAAAGATTTTAAATGGCTGTTATTGAAACAGCTTGAGATATTGGACCGAAACTTTGTAAGCTCTGTTTACGTACTAAAATACATATTTATACTAATTTTTAAATTTCTATCTCAAAAAATTCCCAAGATATAAAATAATTCTTAAAAATCACAGACAGACCGACAAACAGAAATCTAGGCTGTTTAGACCCATACTTATATATATGGCATTTTATGTTTGTCTTAGCCCAAGGAACAAGTCCAGAAAATATGTCCAGACAATTTGGAAACACTCTGTAGGCCTATATATAAATTCTAACGGATAGTGTTTTTGGGTTCTAGGGACCTAAAAAAAAAACAAACTAAATCGGTCCAGGTCTTACCATGAGTATTACGGTAATAGCTTATTTCCAATATTGGAAATTCAAATTCGCTTCAAACAACCAAACTGCCTTACCAACATGCCCGAGGTGGAGTAGTTTGGGCCGCTGACGCTACTCTGCAACAGCGCTGGTCACGTATCGATAACCTCCATTTGGTGTCTACTCTAGTACGTATATATACTTATTGGCGATATGAAGGACAGGGTAACATACCTCACAGACGATCTTCCTGTGACGATGGTTGTCTCTTTAATTTTTATCTTTGTTATAAAAAAAAAACTGTTCAGTTTCTTGATTCTTCCTACACTTCTTGAGCATTTGTTGAACATCAACAGATTTTTTGTGCCAGCTTATGATCCATGAGGGTTTTGCTAATTAAGTTTATGACATTTTTGGGCCATAAATCTAGCTGGCCTATGTAATTCTGTATAATGTTGATCGAGTAATAAATGTTCTTTATGTTGACACAATCGTTGGAGATAACATTCGAATATGTTCACGTTCACAACAAATGTCACAATTATGCGGTGATTTTGTGATAGGGTAAACAGTCTGAAAGTAATTTTCAAGTTATTTTCAAGTCAAGTTCTTGAATTAATTCAAAACAAATATGACATTTTTGAGCCAATCCCAAAACGATTCCGGGCTCGTGCCTAGCGTCGGTGGAAAATAATCCTCAGAGTATCCTATATTGTTTCGCAAAAATTGTACTTGAGAGTTGGAAAATGACTGTTCAGGTAAATTTATATTATTTTTAGAATGCTTGAGCCATTTTCTACGTTTAATCATCCCCAACTTTTTAACCAAATACCTATTTATTGAATAAGGACGTTTTACACCCCTGCGGCCGACTTCTTAGGCTGTGGCCAAGTGGGTTTTAGATGAGTAGAAACATTATTTGGAGGCTTTTAGCGATTGTTGAAAGGAAGTTGCAGGACTGATCTCAGGATCGGGGTTGATAATCTTTTTTCTGGAAGTTATTATTCTCTTATATTAGTCTATATGTATTTTCTATTTAAAATTAGTTAAGGCCATTGAGCATCTCAGTGTGGGTAAATTCATTTTTACCTCCTCCCCACAAAAAAAAAAAAAAAAAAACTTGTTAAACGGGTAGGCCTATCAAAGATTAGGTTGAATTTAATAGAGGATGTCTGTGAAGGGTTTTGTAGGTTTTTGTACAGACAAGTTATTCTCAATCTCAAAATCTACCAAGCCCACACATTTTTGAAAAATTCAGTATTGTTGCACAGTTCAGCGGTGACATGGAACTGGGGGTCCCACGGAATAAGAATACTTAGATTTAAAAATTTAGTTAACCCTACCATCCTACCAAATTAATTTATTAAACGATGAACCATGGAATGATATGTCTTACCTGTCGCTATCGTCATTCAACTGTTGCACCTACACAGGCTTTCTGGTCGAAGGCTTAAGAAAAAATCACATTTCTTTTAACTGTCTGCAACAACCATCCGCCTTTTCCCAATGTGATGAGTTAGCTGTGGCAGTAAATTTTAAATAGTCATATAATCATCATCATATAAAATTCCTCAAAAAAATAAGACAGAGTTCCTCAGATGAAGTTGCTCTTAATAGGCTGTATAAATTTAAAGCTAGGCTATGAAGTAACTTTGGGTAGGACCCCCCCCCACATGTTTTTAAATAGGACCCAGAAGGGATTGGCTTATTGAAAATCTGTAGGTGCACTATTTTTTTGTTATGTAAAGGGAAGGTGCAAACGTGTATCCTGACTAATGTTAGTTCTTTGTTGTTTAGTAGAATGGATTTTTGAGAGAGCTCAATACTACTTTGTCCTAAACACCAAAACAAGCTCTTCTGTTCCTGACAGCAAGAAATTACTTTTATAAGCGCAGCATTATTAACATTGACAATATTATCCATCCTTTAACTTGGTGCTAGGATAACTAAACTTATTTTAGGTTGCCTAAGCTTTTATTGGCTTGTGACGAACTTATTATAAAAGCATACTGGTAGATAGCGATATCTGGAACGGGTTGAAATAGTGATTGATAGTAAGAGTTAATATATAATGAACGTTAAATAATAAACTAACATAATAATTAATAAATCCCTGACAGGTGACTTCACAAAGTTTTCCTCCGTAGGTGTATTTTTAGTTGAGATATTTGTGTTGTTGCTGGTCGGTAGTAGTAGATCTTTCTCAGAACCGACATGACCTACTCCTAGTTTCATTCTCTAAAATCCTCCTTCACATTACTTTACACTCAAGAGTGTTAAGGGAGTGTTAAAGGCCAACACCGTGTTCTAATTAACTTATGCTGTTAAGTTCTCAAAGTGTTTTATTTCTTTTGTTTTCATCCTGTTTAAAAAAAAACTCAAGTCATCTCTTGTGTTCCGTGAAAGGATCAACGATGTAGCCTAGGTAGATACAGAATTACTTAGTGGGCAAAACATTAGATACTGACACACAAAACACTGACTCAACTGGGTGGCTTGTTTTTTTTAATATTGTCATAATCTGAACCCCTCACTGAACCCTAGGTCACTAATAAAAATCCTCTTACTTTTGCGGATTGTAGATTGAAATCTTTTTAGATTAAAACACATCATTTCAGGCTATTCTAAAAAAATAATGGATATTGTTATAGAGTTGAATCTACAAACCTTTTCAAGGATACCATTCAACAAATCCTAGACATGATCATTGAACTGTTGATTGATAAGCATTAATAAAACCTTGTCCCTCGTGGTCAGCCCTGAAATAGAGCAGAAAAAAAATTAAGATATGAACTCTAAAATGTCTGTGCGAGGTAAATTTCTCGAGGTACATTTCAATGTGAGATAAAGTACGCGTAAAGGTGCCCCAGTGCTTCCTCGCCCTGAGTACCTTCCAGTCGACTTGTTTTCTGGATGACCTTGAAGTAATGGTAGCTCTTTCAGCGCTGCATAGTGTCAGGAGACTTACCACGCGCAGGCATTAGCGTTAGTGGTCATGTTAGGCCTATGTCAGTTTTCAGTGAGCAATACAGTGTACTGTACTATCGATATATAATAGGCTATAATAATTTTATGCTACTTTTATTTTATTAAAACGTTTTTGTGTTAAATTCTAAAATGAATATATAGGTATTAATAGAGAGCAAAATTATTTGGAAACATTTCATCTCGTCAAAATTGTGGTGAATAAAATCATTCAATTAATGTGGACGTTTAAAAATGGATAGTGATCACTACTTGCTGACTTTATATTATTTATATTTATGAATATGTATTTATATTGCAATGTGTATTAAATTCCCCTACCTTCTGTTTACATTGAATCGTCAGAGCAAATTTAAGAATTGTGCCTTCTTTTTGATTCCTTAAACACAAATCAATAACCTTCAAAAATCATTAAGTGGTTTTTAACCTTTCGAAGTGGAAATTTCCGTCTATCTTATGGGGCATACTATGTGCAAACCTGATTTAAAATGTATTGATAATTTAGTGCCAATGAATAACATAAAAATCACGGTGACAAGGCTACTAAAGTTGAAGACACTCCTCACCCCACTCCACTTAGAGAGAGGGGTGGCGGCTGTGACATCAAAATTTCGGTAGGTGAAGTCTTTGGGAGGACAAGCCAAACCTAAAAAAGTCTTTGGAACTAGACTAGCTGTTGCGCAGGACTAGGCGCGTTCCTGTAAAAAAAAAACCAACAAAGTTTGAATGGTCTTCTGTATGTTAAAAAGTAGGCCTACATATTTAACCATATGTAATTTCTTAGTTATAGTTTTTATGGTACCGTGTGGAATTCTTGATGTTTTTCATAATCTTCTTTATTTTCCAGTTTTTGCTGATGTTAATTGATGCTTGCTTTGTTGTTTTCAGTCTAGTCAAAATATTGTTTTTGTTTCAGATACAACTTCCAAGATGCTGGTTGAAATATCGTCAGCTACTGAATTTCTAGTCAACCTCCTCCGACTAAGTAGCTTTTCAAGTGAGCTGAATCACGAGCAGTTGGTGATGTTCCGGGGCTCGCTCTCTAATGTCCTACAAAGCAGGTACCGTGAACACTGGTTCCCACTGAAACCGAACAAGGGATCTGCTTACCGCTGTATCAGGATCAATAACAAGATGGATCCTGTTATCGCCCAGGCTGGGGCTGCCATCGGGATACCTCCAGAATTCCTTCGTAAAATGTTCCCTTGTGAGCTGACGGTATGGATCGACCCTTCTGAAGTCTCCTATCGCATCGGAGAACACGGCAGTATCTGCACCCTGTACGAGAGCAAGAAGACTAAAGAAGAGTCACTAAACTTCCCTCCTCCGAGACAATCTCCCGAGCTCTACCATGATCCGCGACAGTACGAGCAAGTCGACCCCATGGTGGACTACATTTACTAGTTCACCTCTGCCTTTTAAATAACAGCGACTAATGATCTCAACAACATGCAGCACGAAAAAGCTACAAATCAGGGACCAGACCAATAAGGCAGGTTTTGTGCTGATAACTGTGATGTAAAGTTAGTGGTCGCTGTTATACACTAGTTGTCTATTTTTATCTATATTTTTTTGAGGCAGTCTTCCAGTTAGGAGAGTACCTATATCTACATTGTTTCTTTTTTTACCGTTGCTGTACTTGACTTGAGATGATATGAGTAAAACTCCATTTAACCTGCTATTGGCAGTAATTAAGGTTAAGACTAGTCCAAATGATTATATTTCAAATTTATTTTTATAACAATTTTGATTGTATTTTAAATAGTTTAGGTTTTGCTGATAGTTGGAAACCATCTTACTGCAGAAAAAATAATTGTATTTTAAATATTTATTGTTATACAATGCGTCTTTTTTTCATCCTTTATAAAAGGAAAATATAATTTTGCAGTATTTTTCAGCCCTGAGACATATCGTAGAAATGTGGTCAGGGATTTACACAAAATAGTACCTAATTTATTTCATCAACACGTTTGGGTTATAACTGTCATTTGTCTTTTCATAGGTTAAATTTAACCTAATATCTAAAATTAATGTAATTTTCCTATTAAGTCTAATAAAAGCGATGAAATGTCAATTTAAATTTTTTTTTTACATTACAATTTCAAAGATGATTCCATTTAAAGGTAGGATTTAAAATATGATTTTACTCAGTAAGTACACCTCAAGTGTTCTCTTTGTAAGTAGTATATTTCTTGAGTCATTTATACAAATTAATGTTGTTATTGTAACCGTCAAAAACTGTTTGTCCCATTGACATAAGTGTACTTAAGGTTAAATAACTGCCATAATTGGATTGCAAATGGACTTTTTGTAAGTAATATATTTTTGAGAAATAAGAGACTGGATTGTATTGTAATGTATTGTGTACAAAATAAGCTGGTAGTGCAGCATTCTGTGATTGTAGTTTTAACAACAGTATTTACTAAGTCCAATGTTATGGCAGTCCGCTAGTTAGGAGGCTATTGCCAGTACTTGTAAACACACTCTTGTTCAGATTGCTAGAAAAGCCTGAAACTTTCATCAGTAAATTTTTAAATGCTAAAGACTGCCATTTATTTAATTCTGTTTTCATTCTTTTAATTTTAATATATTAATAATTTATACTTATTTTATCTAATTTTCAAAATTCCCTGTTCATGTAAAATACGTTCAACAAAGTCATGTTGTAACTTGACCTGTCCTCACCTTTGATGTAACACACATTAAGGGTAGTCAGATTTCACTTCTTTAACCATGTTAGTTTTATATTTTTTAAAAATTGTGAAGAAGACTCTTAGGGTTCCCAACTGCCATTATTCAGATATTTGTCACATTTTATGTTATTTTTGCCTTATTAAATATTTTTACATCTAACCTTCAACAAAGTATGCTTAGAGTTGTGGCAATCTTCAGTGATTAAATGATGTACTAGTAAAATCAAATTTCTTTAGTTGATAGACACTTAAATAATGTTTTATTGTTCTTTTGAAACTCTGTTGCAAAACAAATTATCTATTAATACAACAAGAGATGGCTACAACTTAACATCTTGTGAATTAAGACCACCTTGGTTATTGCCCTTATTAGAGACAACATTACTAATAATAAATAATACAACATTTTGGGTTACAGGTACAAAATATCTAAAAAATCAAATCTGTTAAATCAGTTATAATCAAAGGGAATTGAAGTTGGGAATTCGGTCCTGGAGTTTTAATTACCGGTAATTGATGGCAATTTGTATAGCCTATTAAAGAAGACTCATATGGATATCTGAGTACAAAACTAGCAATCTTGAATATGAGTGGGTGATGTGGTGTTTAGTTTTGTATACAACTGAAAGTGTGTTGAAAGGATTGTACATACAAGGCTATCTTAATGCATTTATTTAGGCTACTGATTATTTTTTAGAGTAAAATACAATACATTGCAATGAAAATAAAAACTCTTTGCGCAGCACACAATTTTAAGGTTATATTTAGTTTTCAAGTAATAAATATAATTGGTTCAGCTAAATTTCTTAATCAACCCTTTGTTGATGATACACACTCCTTAAAACGGGTAGTTATTGGTTTATTTTTTCTATGTGGGGTCGATGTATCATAAGCATTGGGTTACTTCTCTACAGTGGTCAATATTTAAGTGTGAATTACAACTATCACTTTTTTTATATTTTCATTGCAATGATATTTTTTAAACCTTGACAAGTTTTTTGTACGTTTTTGTTGATAACCAGTAGCCTACCAGAAAGCTGTGATAGTGTGAGTGTGATCATACATAGCTGTAGCTGTAAGGTTCGTTACCACGGCTGGCACTGGCGATGGTCTTCTGGCCAGCGTCCTGCCTGCATTATACGAATCACTTGCACACATTTTGTACAAACATCATCCTTCTCATTAATTTATTACACAAACTAACGTCCAAATTTAGCCGTTAAAGGGTTTCTCTCATTTTCAGTAGTGTAATAATGTCGTAAATACTTTGTATAAAATAAAAAGTTGTTTCAGAATTTTAATATTTTAAATATTTTTAATATAATGTGTGTTAAAACATGTTCTACTGTAAATAGTTGTAAAATTTATTTGTATAATGACAAATGCTATTAATGTAAGATTTATATATTGCCTTTGGTCCTTGTTTTGTACAGAAAGTAGCTATAAGCTAAATAAAAGTAATTTTTCCAATTTGAAGTATGTATTATATTTTACCCTAAATCTTAATTCCTTTTGTATAATAGAAGTATATTGCACAACATGTGTTATGATGACATTTTATAACAAATAGGACAATAATTAAATAAACAAATAAGAAACAGCCAGGGTATCAAATAATTCTATAGATGAGTATTTTGTAGTCTAAAGTCCACATTTATATTAGGATTATTCTATTCTAACTAACAAGTGCTTGCTATAATTCATTTTGCACAAGCACCATAAAGACAGCAGATACTGTTACTTGGCTTGCTGTCTTTTTAGTAGGCTCAGCTGATCTTGATACTTACCCAAGGTATTTTTGGTAGTAAGTTGAAAAAGTAAATTTAACTAAATACAACAAGATATTGCAAAACAATGCTATAGAATAAAACATTCTTTTCTTTTTACCAGGCTAAGAATTGTTCTTTTAGTATTACTTCATGGCTGTTTCTTCTGTTGTCAGTGCACAAGTGGTTATCACAGGCCACTAATGGACAAAGTTCATGCAGTTTCAGAAAAAAACCTAATTTCTTTAATATGAAAAGTATACAAAGTTACTGGTCATTTATCAAGCTACACTTAATCAAGTTACCAAAATACATTTGAAAACAACTATGCAAACTGATCAAATTCAATTTATAAAATATTTGTTTCCATTGGCCCAAGAGGAAGTTAAAGGTTTCATAACAATACCATATTTGCAGAACCAATTGTGTCTGTCCTTTACTAAGGCTGGTGTTAACCACAAAGAGAATATTTGAGGATATTCTATTATGAGTACCTTTTTATTAGCTTGCTGCAGCAGTTGATCATAGCCTGACCCTAAGCTAACATAACCTCCAAAGTTATAGTCAGGTTGGATAGAATCAGGTGATACATAAGATGCCCGTATAATTTTTACAATTATTGAACTTGCAAAAATGAACCAAACTATCAAGATGTGTAATGGTAATTGATCTGGATATCTAGGAAAAGGATACCTGTTAACTTATCTAATTACAGCTAAACATACACATCATTAGTTGAAATTATAAAATACAAACCATAATATACAACTATTACTAAATGTTGTTTTAATATCAGGTTCAAGAGTTAAATGGAGGACATCATTTTGCACTGTTATAAGACAATAAAAATAAAACACTGGTAAAGATGCACCAAAAAAATGGAGTCGTCTTTGAGGTGCCGTGCTGGAAGACTGCTGAGTGCTGACGACATCATAATGCTACTGTTGGTTGCCTCAAACCAAGGACCAAGGTAGGTGGGTAGCTTCTAGAGCTGGGTTCCATCTCAGCCGAGATAGATAGGGACGTTAACAAACTTGGGAAGTAGGAGTTTAAGTAATTAAAGGCTATTTTTAAGGAGCCTATGGTATTTGAGCAATTTCTCATGCCAAGGTGTCCTGATCCTTAATTTCTTAATAAAAAAAGAAAATTTAGGCATAGTATCACTAAGGCCGAAAAAAGTTAGAAAATCAAGCCTCAAAGAGTAAAAGTGTGTGCCTTACAACTTACCTACTCGCTCTATTGTAGAGGCATTATTGACCTTACATTTGGAAAAGATTAAGATGTTGACATCCAATCTAGTAATCAAACAGAAATAAAAGAACCTTGTTAAATGAGCCTGTCACAGATTGTACTACTTAGAATTTTATTTCTCTTAGCTTTTGTCACCATGATAGTTGATGTATCAGTAACTTAAAATTTGCTACAGTTTTCAATAATAACAGTTCGGATTGGTAAAAGATTTAATAACTTCTTGATCAGCATTGTACCTGTTATTAAATTTACTGAAAGTAAATAAAGATACGTCTTATAACACTTAAAATTACACTTTTAAGTGTTATAAGACGTATCTTTATTTACTTTCCGTAAAAGATTTAGCGTTTACAATATAAATCGGTAATTGTCATCAACATTCACCTAACTACGTTGGCTTAATACAACTAATATCATTTTAGCAAAATTTCCATTGTAGGGAGTATTAGCAAATTTAACTTAGGGAATAAGCCATTATACCATAGGTCACAACCTCAATAGAATCTTCTGTGCAAGAGCTAGACAGACAATTCATTTACTTTTTAATGTTTATGTCCCCAAAGGTCAAAAACATCATTTGTTCAAAATCATATACAGTGGAACCTCGATAACAAGTCACCTTGGATGGATAAGAAGCCAACCCTGATAACTTAGAAGCAAGTCTTATTTAATATTTACCATGAGAGTCTTTGTTATCAAGGTTCTACTGTATATACAGGGTGTCCCATAAGTAAACAGCCAAACTCTGGGAAATGGTTTAATGGGTCAAAATAAAGAGAAAATAATTTATAAAAACGTAGTATTTAAAAAAAGTTGTTATTTATAAACCATTTTCTACTTTTTAGTCTTCAATGTGTAAGTATGTTAAATCTATATTTATGGTATGTTAATACATAACCAAAACCTTTTTATCTATAATCAGATGTTTGATCTTTACTTTGAAATGTTTGTTTATATTTTTATAATCTCTCGGGATCAGAACCTGCTCTTTGAACAAACTGTCAAATTAAATTATTAACAGCTGACGTCAATTAATATAATTGACTATTTACATTCTTCCAAAATCTAAACATAAAAAATTTGGAAGCCCATGGGGCGTAGCTCATGGGAAATATGAAAATACAAATTATTTAATATTGCATTTTCAATTTATCCATTTGTGAGCTATGTTTCAAGTTTCAAGTCTCTAGCTCATCGGAAAGATAGTTTAAAATCGATTGAAAAATTTGTACCGAACTGACAAGAAAGCGAGCTAATAAAAACGTATTAATAAAGAATAACATTTTTTCCAAAATCGCTATCTTTGATTTTTTTCAACCAATCATTATTATGAAGCTTGGATACATACTGTTGAGGTAAAACAAAAGGGTACCGTAGGGACATAATTTACGTAGTGATTCCTTTGGTCGAAATAAAAAGAAAACTGAGAATAAAACTTTTCCCAAAATCACTTTGTTAACCAGATATCCACGATTTTGTATCTTTTTACATAAACATTTTTATCTTTGGATTTTTCCAACCGATCTTTATGTAACTTAGTATGTATGTAAAAGTAGAAGCGACCCAGGTGAGAAAAATTATTATCTTGGTCTAATTCAAATTTTTAAATGTAAATTACAAACAATGGCTGATTTTATGAAAAAATGCCTAAAACACTTTTATTTTAAGTGCTCTATACAACGACACCAAGTTAAAAAAGATTGAATCCAAAATAACTGAAATATCATGATTTTTTGTTGTAAAAAGAGGTGGAATGGGGCTAAGCTAGTCTGGTTTGCTTTGTTTAGTTTTAGTTGTAAAATGGTGTAGAATAAGGCTAAGCTAGTCAGGGTTGCCTTATTGTAGGCCTACAACTAAAAATCGTGATATTTCACTTAATTGTAATTCAATCTTTTTTTAACTTGATGTATTTGAAATGCAAAATAAAAGTGTTCTTGACATTCTTTAATAAAATCTGTTATTTTTTAGTAATTTAAATGGCCATAATTTTGAATTGGATCAAGATACATTTGTATTCTAACATGGATGGGGTCTCTTCTACCTTAACATACATACCAAGTTTCATAAAGATCAGTTGAAACAATCTAAAGATAAAAATATTTATCTTTGTCATTGCAAAAATTCCCTATCCATGAAAACAATGTGCTTTTGATCAGACAGGGATGCCTCGAGAGACACTGACCAGTCAGAAATCCTATTAGCCATACCAGCTGAACACAGGGTAAGATCAATAACATATTGACCTATCCTGCTTAGAAAAGTGCGGGTTCTAAAGCCTACATTAGCTATAAGGAGACCACTAGGGAGTCGCCTATCACTAGTTTAGCTCTGGACTCCTTTGCGAGGTCGATCAGTCGTATGACCTCAGCCGATGGGAATTGTCCCTCGTGTGGCATGTAAACAGAGGCCAGCAGCAATTTTATGTTGGATTTAGCACAGACAGTCTTAGCTACTATAATGTCCCTTTAACAAAGCTCTAAAACTGGATTAAATTTTAGCCCATCTTTAACCCAAATGCAAGTTCTAGGGTGTGGAACAGACACGGAAATGATATAACCCCTAGTGGTACCCATCCCCTCAGTTCTAAAATTATTGACCCAGTGTTCCTGAATCGATGCAAAATCTAAGGACTGCTTAATCATGCTCAGACAGAACACGGCCGTGGTAGCCTTACTGTGTTGTAGGTTCGCCTGTAGGACCTGGGTCATCAGAGGGGGCACCTGAGATAATTCTGAGCTGCACTTCACCCAGGCCCAGGTAGATGATCCAGCCACGGTTTTGAACCTGTGCATTAATTTCATCAATGGCGAGAACAAGTATCTGATGGTGATCATTCTTCTTCTTCCCACCTCACCAATCTTCTTGCTTGACACGCCAATCTCTGGTCGTCACACCAGGATTTTGCTGTTCTAACTGGACAAACACTGGGGACCCTGGGTACCCATCGGGTCCGGATCTGCACAATGGTGAAACACCAGTACCATAACCTGACGAACCGAAGGACTCGCTTCCTCTTTCTCCATTGTTTGTTGGGGATCCACCTGCCTTGTTCCGTTTTCCTTTCTTTAACAAACTGTCGTAACCTAACGTTACGCTAGAAAAGTGGACGATATAGCAAGAGAACCACTTACGTTCGTTGGTGGACATAGAAGAAGGAGCTGTGACGAATCATCCCACTTCAGGGCTCAGTGCACAGTGCAGCCACCCCGCAAAACATAATAAATCTTCCGTTACTAATAATTATGACTGTTCATATATGAAACTATAATGACTTCTACTACACTCGTCTTCCCCATAAAAAAAAGTCAATATCATAAATTCAAAATTAACTCAACTTTCAAAATAAAATAAATTCACTTTCAATAAAATGCAACCAAAATTTCTTCTTCCCATTATTCATTACTAATTTTACAAGTCCAGCCTGTGAGGCTTTCGCACAGTCCGTGCAGACTTCCTCAGCGAGGGTGGTGGGCTGCACTGTGCTAGCGGCGACGCAGGAGTTGGCTGAGGCTGGGCTTGCCCTAGGCTCTCCCTGGGACTGGTAGTAGGCCTAGGTACAGGTGACATCATCATGGGACTAGTTGGTCGATCCTCCGGCGGGGGTGAATTCTTGGGTACTTGGGGTGATACAACGGGATCCTTGGGTGATACAAAAATCTCCTCCTCTTCTGCATACCGAGCTCTCAAGTGATCCGCATGACAAAATCGGGGTTTTCCACCAATAACACTCACCAGATAGGTGACCGGACTTCTCTTTAGAATTATTTTGCCAGGAACCCAAGATATCTTTTCATTTCGGACAGTTTTGACATAGACTGCCTGACCTTCTGAGAAAAATCTGCTTCTTCCCCTAAGCCTATCAGCTGCATCTTTTTGTTCCCTGTGTTTTTGATCAATGGATGACTGGAGATTGGGTTTTAACATAACCAACTGAGTACGAGGCTTCCAAGACAGGAACATTTCTGCAGGAGTTAAGCCAGTAACTGTATTTGGAGTGTTGCGGTACGCAAACAAGAAATTATCTAATTTCATTTGAAGAGTGGTACGCTGAGAACGCTGATGTTCCTCAATCACTTGACGCAAAAGGTTTTTCTTGACCTCCTGAACACTTCTCTCCGCAGATCCATTTGAAGCCGCATGATACGGGGGAGTTAATGTGAACTTCACATTGTTGTTATGCAAAAAGGTTTTGAACTCTTGACTAGTAAAAGATCTTCCGTTGTCCGACACCAGTTCGACAGGCAATCCATACGATGAAAACAAGGTACGGAGTTTCTCAATAACCTTGGAAGAATTCATGGAACTCATGATAAATACCTCTAACCATTTAGAGTATGTGTCAATCAAAACTAAAAGTTGCTGTCTCGACTCTGGATCCTCCGCAAAGTCAATGTGTATCCTCTGCCATCGGGTTGATGTTGTAGGCCATTGCTGCAACGGTACTTTAGGTATCGAATTCCTAGTTAACTGACACGCAGAACAAGAGGCCACCACGTCTTCAATCGACTTCTCCATGCCTGGCCACCAGACATAACTTCTCGCCAGCATCTTCATGCGTGTAACTCCCGGGTGTTGATCATGCAACATTTGAAGCACAGATGAATACAGTTTCTTTGGAATCACTACACGAGAACCCCACAGCAAACAACCTTGTTCCACGGACAACTCGTCCTTCTTCCTTAGAAAAATAGCTAGTTCCGGCTCAACCGAGCTCGTCCAGCCGTACATCACAAAATCTCGGACCTTCGAAAGAATCGGATCCTTATCCGTCATTTTACCTATATGCAAGGCAGTAATAGGTGCAATGTCCTTGACAACACAGAAATTGTTCATCACTTCTGTACACATATCTACATGTGAAACAAAATTAGCATCCAGCTCTATAGGTTCCGCTTCTGCTAAGGGTAACCTAGACAACGCATCAGCGTGAGGGACATCCACTCCCTTCCGGTACCTAACCTCCAAATCATATGCTGATAGAATCAAGGCCCATCTCTGCAGCCTAGCTGCCGCCATACTAGGAACGCCCTTTTTAGAGCCAAAAATAGCCGTCAACGGCTGATGATCAGACTGTAGAATACAGTGTCTTCCATATATATACTTATGAAACTTTTTGACTCCAAAGATCAAAGCCAGAGCCTCCCGATGTAACTGAGAATAATTCCGTTCACTGGAACTTAGCGTTTTCGATGCGAAGGCTATTGGCCTTTCCTGACCATCGATGAGATGAGATAGAACTGCAGCTGACTCATCAAGGCGTTGCAGCACCTGCGCCAGACGGGCAAGCCCCTCTTCCTTAGAGCGAGCCGCCACTAAGACGTCATCTAAGTACGCCACCGTTCCTGGAAGACCTGTTAAAATTTGGTCGATGGCTGACTGAAAAATTGCAGGAGCTGAAGACAAACCATATGGTAGCCTTTTTAAACGATACAGACCCTTATGGGTAGCTAGGGTCAACAGAGGTTGCGATTCATCCGCTACCGCCAATTGCTGATACGCATTTGAAAGATCAAGGCAGCTAAAAACTGAGCAACCGCCAAGAGTTGCAAAAATATCTTGAGCCTGAGGAAGCGGATAATGTTCCATTTCAATACACTGATTAAGAGTAATCTTATAATCGGCACAAAGCCTAACACCATTAGGCTTAGGGACAACCACAAGTGGAGTGCTCCACTGTGAATTAGTAACTCTGTATGCAACATCCTCTTGAACCATGCGGTCCAACTCACTCTCAACTTTCTCCCTTAACGCAAAAGGCACTGGTCTCGCCTTACAAAACTTAGGGACTGTCCCCTCCTTTAAGACAATTTGAGCCTTAACACCCTTAATTTCGCCCGTTCCAGGCTGAAAAACTGACTTAAATTTACTCTTCAATTTAGCAATGTCTAAATTAGAACTGTGATCCACAGTGGCTTTACATGAAAACACATTTTGCCAATCTAACCTCAACTGGCCTAACCAGTTTCGCCCCAACAGAATCGGCTGACTCTTACTTTCTAAACTAACTACTGTCAAAGGCAAACTCGCCTGCTGATTATTATATTTAACATTGACATTCACTTGTCCCAGAACAGGTACATCATGACCTGAATAAGTAGTAAGTTTCACATTTGCTGGCCTAAGTTTGAGGTTAGAAAATTTTTCATAAAATATCTCAGAAGGACATATAGTCAAGGCACTGCCTGTATCTAGAATCATTTCTAAATATACATCATTAGCCACTAGGCCTACCTTATAGCCGTTGTCTGATCCTGATTTAAGGTTGTACAGACCTATCTCTGCCATTGGAACTTCTAGGCCTAGGCCTACCTCTTCCTCCACTTGATGGACCCCCATCCTAGATGTCGACTTTTTACCATGGAAACTAGAAGATTTCTTGGCTTTACACACTTTCTTGAGATGACCTACTCTCTGACAACCGTGACACTTGTAACTGGCGAACGCACACGCACTAGGCCAATGACCCGCAGAACCACACCTCCAGCAAGAGTTTCTAGAATTTTGATTTTCACTACTCCTATGCATGAAAGTTTTAGGCCTATTTTGACTTTTCACATTGATTTTCGCAATGTCCCCACGAGGTTGCACAAATAGGCTTGACTGCGATTCGGCCTGTTCCAGCCTGAGCGCTGACGCATAAGCTTCGTCAAAGTCCAATTCCTCCGACAACAATTTCTGCCGGATAGTTTCATTAGAAATGCCGGAAATCACTTTGTCCCTCAAAGCGTCTTTCAAAAAGGTACCGGTACCAAATTTGCACGAACTAGCCAAATGTTTTATTGAAACCACAAACTCCGCTATGCTTTCGCCCGGCTTTTGCACACGAGAGTAGAATACATATCGCTCCGCCACAACCAACTTCTTGGGCGCATAATGTAATTTCAACAACGCTGCAAGTTCATCATAGGTCTTAGAATCTACCTCTACCGGTGATAATAAATCGGATAGGACCGATAAAACCCTGGGACCAATAACTGTAATTAAAACCGACACCTCGTTCTCCTTCTTGACATTGTTCGCTTTGAAAAAATGTTTCAGGCGCAACAAATAGGGCACAATGTCCTCCTCACTTGGATTAAATTCAGAAATCCTGCCAACACTAATACTCGCCATTTTTAATCATCTCAACTATAATACGCACTAAAACAACAACTGTTATCGCGTACTACCCTAACTATGATAAAAAGGTTTATTACCGACTGCGCCAAAATGTCGTAACCTAACGTTACGCTAGAAAAGTGGACGATATAGCAAGAGAACCACTTACGTTCGTTGGTGGACATAGAAGAAGGAGCCGTGACGAATCATCCCACTTCAGGGCTCAGTGCACAGTGCAGCCACCCCGCAAAACATAATAACTCTTCCGTTACTAATAATTATGACTGTTCATATATGAAACTATAATGACTTCTACTACACAAACAATCTATGTTAAGTTCTGGTCATAGCAGTGAAAACAATCTCTGAATCGGACGAAGCGTCCGTCAGAGACGAGGTATCACCGACATTGCTGGTGTCTAGCTGCTTGTTTTGGTCTGCGTCTAACCTATGACAGAGCTCAAGGACATCAGTCGATGATTTGGGTGGAGTTCTCATTGTCAGTGAGCTCCTTGAGATGATCTCTGGCGTATTCACAATCTCCCCAGGCTCCGTCTCCATTGCGGTGTTCTGCACAAAAACATTAGATAGCTGAGAGTTGCCCTCCCCAGAATCCATGAGCAAGTCGCCCAAAAAGGAGAAGTAAGATTCCCCGCTTGAGCAGGTACCTGGGGTAGTGTTTCCGTTTGTTTTCCTTCAGCCATTTTAACTAATCAACAAAACAAAAATTTTGCAGTTTGGCAGCCGAACTGTAACCCGCTCACTACGCCTACCAATGTCCGAAACTGGACCCTTTCAGAGTTGAACCCCTCATCGTCTCCAGCTCAGTCCTGAAACAGCTGCACACATGCCTGTTACAGTTGGCAGTTGAATTAAGCTGTCTGAGCCGTGGCCGGATGGGTGACTGTCACCTCCACCCAAGGCCAGTACCAGAGCAGTTTAGGTCTAGTCACAACACAACCAGCGCTAGATCCGCTGCCTTTAGCGAGTGCAGAGGCACCCCTTGCAGGCTGTGCATAGAACAGTTTGACTTTGCTTGGCCACTCACAGTGGTCTTGAAGGAGGAGCTGTTGAAGACAGCCCCCCTCCCTGAGGAGCTTACGCTTACCTCGCGCCTCCGGGTAATAGGGCTAGCTGGTGGAGTCCTGAGCTTGCATCCCTTAGGAAGAGATTGAGGGTCCATTTTAGGCAAGCCAAGAAAACAAATAACTGGGGCTATTACCACAACATTCTCATTAAATATAACTGTGCAGTATGAAGGGCCAAAAGGCTTTCACGGAATAACTTTTGTAGTAATTTGGAAGGGGTTAGAGAAACATTCTGAATACTCAAGGTTCTTTACAGGGACAGGTCCGCCACCCTTGGTGCCGTTGAGGAACTAGGTGGAGTTATGGCTTTAAACCCATCAAAATACATAAGGTCATGGTAAGAACTCACTCCCTGGTTGCATTGTCTCCAATTTGTGGCAGGAAGAGGTGAAAACTGACTGACCTGATAGGGGGTGGCATGCCACACACACCAGGTGAAGTAATGCCTGCCTCATAGTTACTGTTTTTAGTAAGGTAAAATGGACTGTGAGCCTGCTATGTCCCCTTTAAACCACTGGGTCCATTTAAAGACCGGTCTGTTTATAGGAACGTTTAGATATCCTTATTCCAGGGCTTTGTAAAGTTATTCAGGGTATGCCTTGCCTTGGGTCACGTACCCTCAGGATGGAGCTATTCTCGCATAGCATTCATCCCTAAACCAGGCAGGGACAGATACACTTATCCCAAGTCATTTAGACCCATATCTTTATCTTAATTTCTTCTGAAAATCCTGGAGAAACTGGTCTTGTAGGGGACACAGCTCTTAGGATAAGACCTCTCTATGAAAACCAATATGCGTATATTGCAGGAAGATCATGAGAGACTGCGTTGCACCACCTTGTTAAGCAGTATTAAGAACGCTCTAGAGTACAAAGATGATGCCCTAGGTGCGTTTCTTGACATTCAGCGTGCCGTCGACAATACTAAGACCCCAGCGATACTCAATGCAGTTAATGAATATGAATATAAGCACAGGGTTTTCATGATGTTTGTAAATAGATTGAGTACCTTGCTTCAAAGCAGGGAGGTAAGGCTCGCACTCCATAACGAGACAGTCAAAGCAAGCACGAATCGTGGATGCGCCTCATGCAGTTACTAGTCCTGTCGGTACCTACATATTGTCTCCCTGCTTATGGAAGCAGCATATGTGTAGAAGACATAAACCGAATGCGAAAACTGCAAAATTCTGCTATTCACTTCATTTTTTCCTAAGAAAAATTTAATATATCTCTCTATTCAGAGCTGTAGCGGGGATAACAATAGTAGACACTGTTTGTAGAGTCATGACGTGCTGTGTGGTGCCCAAGGTTCTTGTCCTACAAGAGCCAAAGTACCTTCTTTCAGAATTTATTTTTCACTTGTCTGGGTTGAGCCTGAACCCATTAATGTGAAATCATGGAGATGTTCTCCAGATCTGTATTGATCGATTGATCTGTATTGATTGATTGATTGTATTGATTTGTATTGATTGATGGTCTCCTTCATGGAACCAGGTTCATTTGATAGGTGTAACTAGAAACTAATCTGGATACAAGTGTGCAGTAGCAGTACAATGTTTTACACAGCTGGGAAAGTAAGCTGTGTAAAGTGTGTAAGGTACCTAGGCCCTAAACAGCTAACTTGAGGAAGAACCTCTAGGTTTTTATCAAGAGGTTCAGAGGTCTCACTCCCCAAGCTGGTAACCTGCAATCTGTTGATAAGATAAGAACGAATCCAGGTAGTGATCCAAATGAGCTACGTTTCCCATTATTCTTAGCATCAATAATTTCACAGAATAAATTAGCCAAAGCCGTACATGTGCTATGATTTTTTCTAAAGCCTGACTGTAATTCTGATAGCGATAGCAGCCCATTATTATTCATAAATTGAGATATCTGGTCAATATACCTATATTTTCTCTAATAACTTATATATTGCTGAAAGAATTAATATTGGTCTAAGATCATCTGGACCTACCTTAGTTGGTGTAGCAATCTTTGGCAATGACCTGACAACACTTAGTTTCCATGGATCTGGGAACACTCGTCCACTAATTGCTATCATTTGCTTCAGTTGCTTCAGTGACAACACTAAATATGAGTTAATTTCTTGTTTCATCTTACTTATTAGTCATATAAAGTTTAAACGTTTCTTAATTTATTTCAGTCACCAGTAAGTTTTTCCAGTCTTTTATAAATTTGTAAAATTGATTAGTTAAAATCCATGTGTGTAGCTCCTGAGCTGTTGGACATAATGTAAGACTAAGTGTAGAAACATACAGACAGCGTAGCGTAGCGCAACGTAGCGTAGCGCAGCGTAGCGTAGCCGAGTGCAGCGTTGTCCAATACACACAGAGAGCGCAGCGTAGCGTAGCGCAACATAAGTTGTAGACGGTCTTAAAGGTACATCAGTATAGAGGATGGCTCTGTCGAAGACGACTCGTATTAGTTTTGTCGAAAATATCGAAAATTTTAATAGTCAAAGGTTATATATTAACAGGCCATATTAACATATTTACACATTCAAGACTAAAAAGTTGAAAATAATTTATAAATAAATTTTTTTTTAAACAACATGTTTTTAAACGCACTAAAGAGTAGAAAATAATTTATAAATATGTTGAAAGTATAAATACTTGTAAGATTTAAAACGAAAAACGTTGGGTGCATGCAATTAATTGATAATAATACATTAGCTCGCTTTCTTGTCCGGTACAAATTTTGCAATCGATTTTTATACTAAGTTCCCGATGAGCCAGAGACTTGAAACTTGAAACATAGCTCACAAATGGATGACAATGCAATATTATATCATTTAATTTTCATATTTCCCTTGGGCTACGCCCCATGGGCTTGTTTTTATTAACTCGCTAGTCGCTTTCCTACAAATTTTGATATAAATTTTAAACGAAGTTCCCGATGAGCTAGAGACTTGAAATTTTAAACATAGCTCACAAATGGATGACAATGCAATATTATATCATTTAATTTTCACATTTCCCACGGGATACGCCCCATGGGCTTCCACATTTTCCATGTTTACATTTTGAAAGAATGTAAACATATCAATTAATTTAAGTCAGCTGTGAATACTTAAATTTGACAGTTCGAAGAGCAAGGTTAAGAGGTACAGGTTCTGCTCCAGATATATTCTAAAAATATAAAACAAGCATTTTAAAGTAAAGATAAAACATATGATTAGAGATAATAAGGTTTTGGTTTGTTGTATTAATAGTCAAAGGTTATATATTAACAGGCCATATAAAATATATTTAACATATTTACACATTAAAGACTAAAAAGTTGAAAATAATTTATAAATAAAAAAACTTTTTTAAAACAAAATGTTTTTAAACGCACTAAAAAGTAGAAAATAATTTATAAATATGTTGGGAGTATAAACACTTGTAAGATTTAAAACGAAAAACGTTGGGTGCATGCAATTAATTGATAATAATACATTAGTTCAATAGGTGAAGGTAATTGTAAATCATCTATTGCATGCACCCTACGTTTTTCGTTTTAAATCTTACAAGTATTTATACTCTCAACATATTTATAAAATATTTTCTACTTTTTAGTGCGTTTAAAAACGTTTTGTTTTAAAAAAGTTTTTTATTTATAAATTACTGGTGGCAGTTTTGATCAGTAGGAGAAGTTTCGGGGTGCATGAAGTGTGTAAAGGCAGGGGCAAACATGGTGAATACATCTTTTTCCAATCCTTAGGAAATATGAGTCTCGGTTTAAGAATTACACAAGAATGTCGACTACAACGTTCGATTACATATTTAGTTTGGTGAAGGATGGTTGAGAGAAGCTGACAACTAATTGGAGGGGACCAATTGGTGCAGAAAAGAGACTAGTATTGACTTTAAAGCGTGTCTGCAGTCGAATGCGCTCCAATACGCTCTGAGAAAAACAAAATAGTTTGTTCCTCGGTCGTACGCTG